TACTGCTGACCTTCCTCAGTAGTAAAGGTGGAGGAAAAAAATCAACTTGGATCCATCACTCCCTCCTGAAAGTGGCACCCACAGGAGGTGGCGAGTAGAGGACGCTGGCTCAGGGACTACAGTTTAAATATCATGAGGCTGGTGCTTAACAAGGGGCGACCGCCATTGCTGTTCCAGCTGTCAGCATCAGTGGGGCAACTGTTCTCACCCATGCTCTGCCTCGTGCTGTGCTTCCAGAAGTGCACAACCATCTTTGTTCTGCACCTGTGTGCGCTCTACCGGATCCGTCCCTTCCACCAGCTCCTTCCCTGGGCAGATGATTCCCTGCAGCCATAGGATATAAACAGGACAGTCAGCTGCAACTCAAGTAATACGTGGACTCTCCTCTGCTGGCCAGTGCACAGGAAGCCGAGTGAGCCAAGGTGCAGGGGAAGCACACGGAAACGCTCAGTGGCCATCAGTCCCTGCCTTTGGTTGGAAACCAGTTTTGACCAAGTGCTCAGAGAGATTTCCTGCTCTGCTCAAAGTTTACTTTAAATCACAGACTCTGTAAATGTCCTCCACTTCTTTTTTTTTTTTCCCCTCGGATGAGGAAACTTGGTCACAGGAGAAGAGACTTAGCATGTCACAGGCAGGGCGATGATAACCCTGTTTCCCACATGGCTATCCAGCACTCTGTCCTCTAAACCAAGCTTCTACCTTGTGCCCCCCCCCAGCCCCTCCTGCTGGAGCTCGGACTAACCAGCTCCAAAGCCTGGGCTGGCATGTCCACCAGCGAACATGGGGAACACGCATCCCTCTTACCTGATACTAGTGACATTAACACAGACAAATGAGATGGGAACAGAACATTCCTACAAGACACGACTTGAATTTATGTTTATTTTATATATATATATTTATATATATATACCTTTGTATAGATTAAACTGGGTGGGATTTTATCATATACATTTTTTTGGTATTATACATGAGAAACAGGAATGAGAACATAGCAAATATAAATCAGTACATTCCTCAAGCAAACTCTTTGCCACACTGAGACTGAAAAACTGCATGCAATGGGGAGACACAGAGAAGGGAAATCAATTTTATTTAAAAAAACAAAGACAATCTAGGTACAACGGTCAACAGAGGAGCAGCACTATATATGGCAAACCTGTATAAATTAAAAGTAAATTCCACTCTAACATCTACTATGCTTTAAAGTGCAATGAAGCCTGATTTGTTTACCTACAGAATACAGGAAGGATCACCCCCTCTCCCCATTCCAATCTATCCCTAAAAAAAACCCAAAACCCAAACAAAAAAAACCCATAAAATAAAATCTAAATGATATACATTATCCACAGTCCTACAGAGACGCCTACATCTACTCAGTAGCACCAAGAATCTGATATGGGTGTAATTAAAATCAATTAAAACTCGGGAGCAATGGTAACATCTGTTTGCTGCTTTTGCAGACCTCCTGCCCTTCGCTAGTGTCTCGGAGGAGAGGCGGCTCTCCCTGTGCTGGAAGCGTCCTGTCCTCTCCCCATCGCCGGCCGACCTGTCTGGCAGTAGGCTACGGACACGCGCACACGCACACAGCACAGTGAGAGCAGCTGAGGTTACACCACGGGGATGGGATGGGATGGGATGGGATGGGATGGGATGGGATGGGATGGGATGGGATGGGATGGGATGGGAATGGGAGGGAGCCGAGGCCCCACGCGTGCACGCGGGTGCGTGTGTGTGGAGGGAGCGGGACTAATCTACACAGACGTGAAGGGTTGTGCGAGTCCAACACACGCCACGAGCCTCTTTGGTGATGGGGTGATGGGAAGGGGAGGGAGGGAGAGGAAGGGGAGTCAGCACAGTCCCCATCTTGTGAGCCTCCGGTTGTGTTGTCTTCCAAGGCCGGGGGCCTGTGCACCACAGTTCATCCAACCTCGCCTGCCACCTCTTGGCAGGTCTCAGTAGCCAAAGGTCTCCTGGGAAGCATAGACCATGTAGAGGAAGCCATCCTCGTCCTTCTCCTGCTCGTAGATCTCCGAGATGGGAGTCGCCACGCTCACCATGCTGTGCTGGTTGACCAGCAGGAAGAAAGCCTGGGTGGGATTCAGCTGCAAGCGACGCCTGTGGGGCAAGGGCAGGAGGGCCTGGGTCAACCCACTGGGCAGTCTCTGTGACAGCAACCTCCACCTCCTCCCAGCAATGCCGTTCACGTGGGGCCATGCCTGCCGAGCTGCGACCTCTCCCACGAGCTCAGGACCTGGTATCCATGAGCCCAGCTGAGCCACTCAGGGCTCCGAGGCCTCCGGAGTCGGGACTCTGCAAAGTCCCTTTCTCCAAGTGCTGCTGGCAAGGGCAAAGCAGCTCAGATGGAAGAGGCCCCTCTGAAGGATAAAGAAGGAGATCGGAATCTCCCTCATGAGCTCATGGAGCGTCTCTAGAAGGGAGAGGTCACAGACACTAAGAACCTGCCCCACCTCGACCCTCCCAAACAGTCTGTACTACAACAGGAGGATGCTGTGGTCATCACGTCCCCGTCCCCACCCTCAGCAGCTGCCTCTGCCTCGCCCTCATCCCACCACTGTGCTCAGGGCCGGCGGCTGGCTACAGGCTCAGAGTGCCCCAGCTGGGGCCACCCCACTCACCGGATTATTTTGACCAATTCGCTCATGTTGACGTGGTCTGGGACAAGGAACTTGGTCTTGTCCAGCACCGGCAGCTGCTTCTCCCCTTTGTAGCGTTCGATGATGACCTGGGGAGAAAGTCAACGGTAGGGTCAGCCACGGTCTGCAGTGCCCCAAGCGCTGGCCTCGAGGTCACACACAAACCGGCACCAGTGGAAAAGCTGAGGTGAGGCCCCACTTTGCTTCACCCTCCCAGGAGAACAAAAAAGAAAGAGGTAGGAGTGGCCATCAGGTCGGCTGCAGACAGCTCTGCGGCAAAGAGGCATCTGTCTGCCTGAGCCAGACAGCAGAGAGCATCCGGCATGAGGGAACTGGCGCAGCACTTGCTCCGGCTAGCTGGGACACGGCAGGCTTTCGTGGATGGATCCGGGTCCCACCCCCCCTACACGCAGGAGATGTGGAAGAGGAGTGAAGTGCATTTTAACATCACTTTGAGACTGGCCAAAGCCACAGGTTTTGCTGGCTTCAGCTATGGGCTGGATTCACGGTGCGCTGCGAGAGACGCTGTCCTTCCCTTTCGCCGCCGTTCCACGTCACCCCGCTCGCTCAGGAAGAGCTGCGGGTACTGCCAAACAAGCTGTTTTTAGAAATCATGGCAAAGCCCCCGGAGGCATTCCTTCAGAAAGGGCGAGTTTGATTTTGCCAGTCCCACCCCCACGGCACCCAGACTCCAAAAAGGATTGGAAACCCATGGCCGCTTCTCCTGCGTGCCACCAGAACCATGTGGGGAGCTTCCAGGGGCTTCGGGGCACAGTGCCACCACGGGGACAGCCCAACTTCTCCTCCCCTGCAAGAGGTCTTGCTTGGCAGAGCTTTTACCACACCTACCTTCCGAAACGGCTAAATACCGATTTCTCTTGTTTTCCTGCTATTATAATTCATGAATTCCTTCCATGGAGGAGTGTCTGCTGACAGCTCCAGCTGCTGTTCTAAACCAGCTTGGAAATAACTGTACTGTTTGTATTCTAAGGAACGAGGTGGTAGGCAGTGAAAATAAGTAATGATATCACTTATAAAGCCCAATATGTTCCCAGTGCAGTGACACCCTGACTCTCACATGTCCCCAGTACCTGGTTATTTTCTCCACAGAAAGACACTTCTATGCTAATCCGTTCATTGTCCTCTCCGAGGTGAGACTGAACATTATTTTTCACTGTAAGGCAAAGCGTTCCCATAAATCATTTTCCCAAAAATACATGTGAGGCTGCAAATGCCTTTGGGCAGTGGAGGGATGGGGCAGGATGCAGAGATCGGGATCCCCAGAAGTTGGCTCTGTGGAGCCAAAAGGATCGGCGAACCTCTGGGAACATCAATTTGCCTTTCCCTTGATCATTCATTGACACACCAGCCTCTACCAGCAGCCTGTTGTACACCAAAGCCAAACCAGACACCGTTACTGGGATGCTGCAGTATCACCAGAGAGCTGGGAACATCTGATGAGCTCCAGAGGCTGCAGGGCTTATCTCAGGGCCCACCAGGATGGGCCAAGCTACATTCCAGCCAGTTCCTGGATGAGGGAGGGGTGCGAGGTGCCACGGTGAGAACTCTGCACCTAAGTGCCCTTTGAAGAACCCATCCTGGACAAAGCTCACCCAAGGCAAACCCGGGAACCTGAGGGCCAGACAAGCAGCATACGAAGGCCCCCAAGAGTCCACCAATGTAGTCTCACATTGGCCATGTCTCCTCTTTGACACTGAGCAAGAGTGCTAGAGGAAGACACCAGGGAAAGCCAAGTATTGCTCCTTTGGCCCCTTTTGCAAGATGGGGACCCGATGAAAGAAAACTTTTCTGCAACAGACTAAATCATGCATCGAGATGCCCCTTACCAACCGGCTAACGTCCCCTCCTCCCTGCAGGAGGAGGGCAGAGGAAGGACAAAGACAAGCAGCACCATCCTACTGTATTTAATGTGAGCCTTACTTGGACAGAGGAGTATTTTGGCTACAGGGAGATGAACAGTCTCAAGGGGCTGGATGCTCACAACAGCCACATCCAGGGATGCTGCTCTGGCCACTGAGAAACCCGGAGGCAACCGCAGGACCTCGAGTTTTTAACAGCAGTTTGCACAAGGGGGCAGCTGCACAGCAACTGCTTGTGCATATGCCGTTACATGCAGACAGGGCCCTGCACGCCCCGGTTATGCCTCACTTCTCACTTACACCTAGCAGGAACAGAGGCAGGCATCTCTCATTACCAGCCAGTCCATCCCACAAAGAAAAACCCTCTCAATTAGCCCAAGAACGGGCCGAGGAGGATGTCCTGGCCGTTAAAGCAGCAGCTGCCTTGTGCCCTGAGCAGACAGCGAGCCTGTCATGTACAACAGCTTCAAGAGTTTCTGTTTCCAGAACATGAGCTATTTGGGTAACCAGCTACGGGAACAGGTGGCCAATGGAAAAAACGTTCTTGTCTACCTTTGGAGGGCACTGCATGATCAAATGCTAATATTACATCCCTGTGGCCACAGGGCTTGTACATGAAGCCACCTCCCCTTCCGTATCCTCTTCCAAGCTGCTGCCTCAGGCCGGGGGTGTTCCTCAGTGTGGGACACCTGCTCCTGCAGCAGGAACTCACTGCAGATCTTCCTGCAGAAAAACCATGAGCTGGGCACAGGTGGAAAGGCTTAGGGCAGAGCCTGGGGTCCTGGTCCCATCACAGAGGGGGCCTTGGGCAGCATTTATAAACTCAACCCTTGCTCTGGGCCAGTCTGAAGAGGTGGAAAGGGACTGTGGTAGGGAATGGGGCCAGACCTGGCAGCCCAACAGAGGCAAGGCTGCCACCGCTCCATGCCCCCAGGTCCAACCAGCAGCAAGGCTGAGAACGTACTCCCAGGAGGCACACGGGCTCAAATGCATGTACGTAACACATACGTACCTATACACACGGCCAGCCAGAGAGCAACAGAGACATGCAGAGCACTCACACGAACACAGACAGCACCAACGGCCTCATCCTGCCCCCCTCCGGCTGAGCAGGGAAGAGGTCCCTTAATGGGAACATATACAGTAACCCCTCTCAGTCCAAAAGGTGCTCTGGTGTTGATCCACCTTGGGTCCTGCCAGCCCTGGACACTGGGTCTGCAGCTCCCTGGAACAGCCCTCGCAGGAGCCCGGAGAAGCTTCTCCATTGCTCCAAGCCCATAATTTGGGTTTCTG